CTTGCAGGTCACAAAAGTGGGACAAAAATTCCAGCTAAGGGATACCAGAAAAATGGTACTTAAAAGGAGACCAGGAATTGAATTCAATTTTCATGTGGTTAAAAAAAAAAAAAAAAAAAAAAGGACCAAATTTTTCAAGACTATAAAATCACATTTATTCGTGTTGGACATACTGCTAACCACCACTGTATACAGTATTTTCAAAGTGGTAAGGCACATGAATCGGGCTGGAGGAAGAATCTATTATGGGACAGAAATTCCCTTTAAGCCTCCCTGTGCTCTCATAACTTCATTTACATGAACGTAGGCTGAGTACTCATAGGAAGCAAAGGGGTATATAATCTACTGAAACTGATGAAGCTCTTGCATTTCCTCTCAGCACTTGGCTGCCGCGTGACATTTGGCCAAGGCACTTTTATGATGAGCAGAACAAGTGCTCCCCTGATTATAAACGTTATCACCGGCCTTCTCCAATTTGCCAAGAAGCAGTCCAAATGGTACTGGAATTTTGTTGTTAATTAAACACAAACAAAACTGAAGGATGAGACGAAAGTTGCTCAAATGCAGATTTATTACATCTAATCAGGAAACTACTTTAAGCCTGGACTTATTTGACAACTAACACAGAGGGAAGATTTTCTTCTTTGGTGAGTTCAAAGGGCCTGATTTAATGATGTTTAAAAAACATAAGTAAATCAGCCAACAAAGAGAATGTTTCTCTTTTATGGTCGCTTGTTCTCTCCTCCCTTGTCCACATGCATCCACATACCAAAAAGCTATATTGTAAAGAGTGTGTCTGTTTTGCATGAAAAATCTAATTATACAAACTCTCTTACATATGGAACCAATTTAACTATTAAAACTGAGAGGCAACAGGGAAGTATTTAATATGATTTTGGGCCAGTTTTTTTTCCCCCTTAAATCTGATATGGAAACATTTAGTGCATTCCTCATTTTCCCACAAACTATTTTTCTTCAGCTTTAATTTGTACCAAAGCAAGATAATCCCATTAAAACACAGGATGTTACGATATTGGGAATGAAATATTATAATTGTCCAGATACATTCTCTCCCTCTCCCTTCTCTCTGTCTCTCTCTCTGTCTCTCAGCTGAGCTTATAGAAAAATTGCATTGCCAGTACTTCTGAGCTACTTTTCTCAAAGCACAATACTATGAATCTATTATTTTATGGCAGCCAGAGGTCACTCCAAGACAAATGTGTGGGCTGGAGCTTTTGGGAGGGGGGTAGTGTGTGTGATTCTCATTATTCTATTAGTAAGGGATAGTATGGAAATTCACTTTGTAGAACTACAAAAGCAAAAGCCTATGTACTAGGAAACATCAAAATTAAATTAAGATATTAAAATGTATTTTCCTTATTGTTTGGTGGTTACTGTGCTTAGTTTGGGAAAAAGCAATTTAAAATGTCTCAGCCTCTCACCTTTTCCCCAGTCAACGCAAATTATACTAAACAAAATGGATAAAGACTGACATTGACGCCTCCCAAATAGCAAAATCTATTTCATAATTTAAAGGAAAAATGGAAGGAAACATGTTGACTAGAAAAACTATTTGAGTCGTTTTATACTTACGGGGTTAATGAAATGCAGGAATAGCACAAAAGTTTTTTGAGGGGAGAGGGGAAGAGAAATAGATTTGTTTTACATAAGAAGTCGGTAAGACACCTTTACGTATTTTTCTTCCCAAATGATTTTAAGTGCTTAAGAGCATGGATCACGGGGAGATTTCCTTTCTTTTACTACATCAGCTGCATATTCTAAAAATGATTAAACCCCATTTCCCCGCAAGCCACAGGGGAAAAGACAGAAAATCTGCTGTTGGGCACATTGTATATAGAAAGATTTCATCTCAAGCAGCTCATCTTAGCGTCCAGTACGTTTCGGCCTGTTAATAATTAATAAAAGAGATGCTACCCAATCTCTAGTGAAGAAAGGCAAAGCTCGGTGATCCGAAAGTAAACCCAGCACAGATACCGAACTGGTGTCCTTCATTCTGGATTGCAACAAAACCCCAACCTAGCAAACATTTAACCAGCGCTGGGCGCCCGCACGTGTGGGCAGAGCCCGCAGGACAGTCTGGGTCTGCACAACTGCTGCGCGTTAGGGGGGCCGCGGCGGCCACAAACAGATGGGCTCTAAATCCCCCAGCCCGGCGGCCGGGCCTGCGAAGCCGCGCGGGCAGATTATCCGCCGGGAGGGACCTGCAGGCGCAGAGGCGGGCCGCGCGCTGCGGGCTGAGCTTCTCCGGGGCTGTTTGCAATAGTCGCGGGAGCGAGTCTTGGTTCCTCCGGGCGGCACAGGCGACTTCCTGCACACCTCCAAACTTTGGCTTTGCCAGGAGAAACTTCCCTGACTTGCCGGGTTTCTTTCCTCCTGACCTGAGAGGACCTCGAGCCAGTCCCCACCTCCGACCGGTGCCCCCTGCCATCCCGCCACCGGCCCGGGGTCCTGATCGCGGCGGCAGGCCGGGCGGGGAGGCTTGGCCGCCACCGGCCCGTCCCCGTCGGCCCTCACCACGGTCTAACCTCCACCTCTGCCCACGAGTCCTGTCAGCTGACAAGTTGCCTCCCCACATCCATCCGCAAGCCCAAGTACCCAGCGGGAGTGCGCTGCGCCGAGCGAGGGTCCTGGGCGCGCTCCAGGCGCCCGTCTGGCCCCGGCCCGCGCGCTTTCCGAGGCGGCCGCGGCGGGACGCGGCGGGGACCTGCCGCACTTCCCCGGCGGGCGGCCGCTCGGGCGCTAGGGGCCGCCGGGCCGCCAGGGGGGCAGGGCGCAAGGCCTGGGGCGCTGACCAGTCTCCGGGGATGACACCGCGACCGCGCGCACGCACTGCCCGGCCCGGCCCGGCCACGGCGCCTCCCCCACCTAGGCCGGAGCTGTCCCGGCCGCGGGCCCCAGGGACCGGCCGCGGGCGGCCCCGGCTTCCTCCGAGCTCCCCAGATCCTCCCCCTCCATTCCCGAAGCGCAGCGACTCCCGGAAAACTTTCTTTAGGGAGCCCTGCCGGGTGCCAGGAGGACCCAGGCGACTGACAGGAGCCGGAAGGGGCGGAAGAGGGGATCCAGCCTGTGCGCCTCTGCCCCTAATAGGAGACAGGCCGATCGGAGGGCCGGGCTCAGGTGGCGCCGCCGCGGTGGCCCAGCAGGCCCCGGCGGGCCCTCGCAGCGAGCCGGGAGCAGTACGTGCGCTCGGGCAGGCGCGCCCACCCCTCCCCCTGCGCGCCCTCCTCCCCGCCCCCCCGGAGCAGCCAGCCCACCCGGCCCCGGCGGGGCGCCCGGGCTCACCTTTCATCGCTGCGATCACAAAATACATCATTTAAGCCGCGGTGCGGAGAGCGCAGGGAGAGCGGATGGTCCGACCCCGGAGCCCCCTCTGCCGCCGCCGCGCCGCCGCCGCCCGAGCCACAGCAGCAGCTGCCGCAGCTGCCCGCCCGCCGAGAGCCATCCCGAGCCATAAGAGGCTCCATGTGACCGGCTGACATCACGGCCGCCGCTCTGTTTACACCGCGCCCCTCCGCTTCCTCCCCGGGCGGGAGGCGGGAGGCGGGCCGCCCCGGCGCCGCGCCCCGCCCGCCCCGCGGCAGGTGAGCAGCGGCGGCTCGGCGGGCCCGCCCCGGGCCGCGCCCGCGCCCCCGGCCCGCTCCCCGCCGCCCGCATCACCTGTGGCCGCCAGGGCGCTTCCTGCACGCGGCGCCCCGCGCGACGCGCATCTGACCGCTTTCCTGCTCCACTCCGCGGGGCCGGAGGCGCACAGCCCGACGCCGCTCCCCGCTCCCTCCCCGCAGCCCTCGGGGTGGTAGATGAAAAGAGGGGACTGGTTTGGGGGGCTGGTGGGCAACAGTCCCCCTCATTTCCCAGAGTGTCCCAGCTGTCTCTGGAAGACACGGACCCCTCCTGGGCCGTGGAGAGCGAAGCCACTGGGACCGTCCGGGGGACTGGAGAAAGCGCCTCCGAAGTCTTTCCGGAGACACTCCGCCTGGGCAGGGGGAACTCCGCCCACTCGACCCTGGGTACCCTCATCCTACCAACGTCCGGGGTCCTGGTTCGCGTCCCTCGCCCTCCTCCCCGCGTCCAGGGCCGCGGAGACCTGGAAGGAGAGCACAAAACTGTACGCGAATCACTTAAATGAACTCCAGTTGCCGGCTAATTTGAGCCACTCAATTCCCAGGCTCTTTGATGTCCAGCATCCTCTCCAGAAAACAAGTCTACAAGTGGAAAAGGCTGTAGTTTTCATACCCTAAAAATGAGACTCTGGTATTTTGGATAGAAAAAAAAAATCTCTAAAGGTCAACATTGTGAATTTTAACTTGCGACCAAGACTTAATTCCCTCCAAACTTGGAAACTTAATCCTTTTTTCTGACCTTATGGAACCGTAAATCCTGACGTTATTATTTTAAAGATGAATCTCCTTGCGATGGATTTCAGATGCTACATGCTCAGATTCTGCATTATTTAGAACGTTGGCAAGTATATCTATAGTATTGAGCATAACAGAAAAAAAATTCTCAAAAGCCAAGTTTGTATACCTACTGCTGTTCCTTCCCGAAATTTCATCCTGCTTTCGTTTCTGTTGGTCCGTGTTTTCATGTACAACTTAAAATATTAGATGGCTTTTAGTTGTGGCATTCATGATAATTAAGCAAGGAGAATTCTAGCATTTATTCTTCCATACAACTGAGTTGCCCTTGCCTCTGAGTTGGGCTGCAATTTAAAACACAAGCAGACCAATCAGCACTGTAGAAAACAAGGATTCATACACTCCTCACTCCCCAGCCCCCTTTCAAGGCAAAAATTAAGTCTTCCAAACACCTACACAGTGCTCTGATTTAGAAGTTCAAGAAAGTTCATTGTCCTTCAATCAAGTGGCTTTATAAAAGTTTCAGATACATTCATTCTAATACAATTTTTTTTCCTTTATAATTTTTTTCTAATAAAACTACAGTTAGAAAAGAAATTATAAAAGTGTGAAGCCAAGACCTACCCATGTTAACTCAGCTGTCCAGCCACAGTGAAGTGGGCAAGAGTTTCAAATGAATCAAACATACCCACTGAAATGTTTACAATTATGAAATGAAATCACACCACGTACCCATGATGCAACTACAGCTCCCAGTGAGGCAACGCCCCTTGGCTGCACTGACACCATCATTCAAATTTGGGTCTTGATATCCCTTGTGCTAACCACTATGAGAAGGAAAGGTATTGCCAAGCTATCTCGTAGCTAAGTCCCAGGTACAGTTTTCTTTTCCTTGTACCATTAAAGGATGGAAAACGATCAGAAACTGCTTGCCCAAAGGCATGTTCTTCCGCACTCAATACAAACGAACCCAGTTATACAACTCTGAGAATTCACAGTGTTACTTTAAAACAGTATCCTGCTTTGGAAAATACTGTTTTGAAAATAACCAAATCCATTAGCTCTAGCCTGCCTTTTAGACATCTGACTCCATGGTAAATAGTGTTACATCACTAGTAATCAGTATTTATTTCATCTCAAATGATATTGGTCATTGGGAACGACGTGTAAGGTGACATGTGCTCCTGCAATTACAAGCAGTAGAATCATTCATCCCATAGGTAATGTCCCCAAGAGAAATATAATCTAATAATACTTATTCAAAATATTTACACATTTATTCAACAAAGACATTTCCAGGATAATGGAATACTGACCTTGCCCTTTAAAAATGTATTTCATTCACATCCTACAACTAATGAGCAACAAAATTTCAGATCTGAAGTCCTAATCTTCCAGTGTGGCTAGATACTATTTGTAATGCATGCCTTTATTAAATGTCTTCAGCTATTAACCCGGCATATATTACTGTTCTTTATGTTAGCATAAAGCTCTCATGAAACTTTCAAAATAAAAAATGAGAGGCTGTCTTTTTTTTAAAAAAAAAAAAACCACTTGAAATACAAATTTTCTACAGAACTCTAAGTCCCCAATCAAACAAATCAGTCAGGAATGAAAGGATCCATATCTGTGTTCAATAATGCAGACTTGCAGCCATCAATGATACATTTCAGTACAAATGTTTACTATTATTATATTAAAATACAATGATGCAGAAATATGATAAAATACAAGAAATATGTAGGAATAATTATTTGGCTTTTATTAAACAAATGCTCATGGAGTACCTACTATGGGGAAAACACAGTGCTAGGCAATATTTTCTTTCCATCTTTTTCATTTTACCAAGTGTTCTGAAAAAAAAATAATAATAATTTTGCTTACGCGAAGATAATTAAACGGAATGGGAATTCTTTACCATGAATGAGAGCCCAGTATGTATTAATTCTCAACTCAAAGGTTTCTGTTGGCTAATCTCAGAAAAAGGAGGCACACAGCATACTTGTAAACACAATGCAATTCATCTCAGAGTCCCCTAGAGATAGTCCCAGCCCCACATGCTGTCCCTGTGTGCTGCATTTCCCATCGAATCTGTCATTTAGCAAGGAAGTGAAGAGACATTTCTGATGCCAGGTTGTTCCAAAATGCCTACGAGAAAAGCTTGGTGCATTTTTGCAGGAGTCTAGACAAGTATAATCAGTAAATTGGTGCCAATCTTCCTGCGTGAGAGGTTAAATGAGGAAATAATACTTGACTTCATGAGAGTGTATTTTGTCTTTTTTACAAGGTCTGATCTCATGGTATGCCACCCCAAATCACACATATAATGCTACTGGGGAGAATGGCAGAGCAGCAGATTGACAAACTTACCCAAGTCTTTAAGTGGCTCCTGGGACAAAGGTGATTTGAAAGTTTGCTGATGCATGTGAGAGAGAGCATTTTGGATCTGTCCCACCCAGGCCCTTCATCTCTATCTCTAGTGTGTGGCAGCTTGCTAATTCAATTAATTTCCTTCTAGCTGACCAAGAAAAGGATCAGCGAAAGGTTAATGCAGTGCTAGGCCGCTTGATTCAGTTGAATCCTTAGCCACCACCAAACTGTGACCTCTAAGAGTTGGGCCATTCTGGTTGACCCAGAGCCAGGGGACCAAGTTTCCTATAGACCGAAGAGGGCCAGACCCAGAAAGTTCTAAGCAAGACTACTTGGGAAACTATGGGAAAGGCACAAACTTACCTACAATAGATCACAGCCTTGCTTAATTTTGAGTTTAGGAACAGCCAGTATCTCATAAAAGAACATATATAAATGGAATAACATTAATACTAGCAAGACCCAGAAACCAACAGTGACAGGAGGAGCCCTGCTATTTATGAGTGTTAAGGGGGAGAGAATGAACAGATTAATATGGCTTATCTGTCTTATTCGTGCTTTTAAAACAAATATAGATATAGATTGAAACATGCATGTATGTATGCTTATGCATGGTCCATGAAATATGGTGAAATAAACTGTATTTTGGTTGCAAGAGATATCTTCAATTCTATACACTCACACTCACATGCATTTCTCATAATCAACCACACTTACTGAGTATGTATTATGTGCCTGGCACCATGCTGGAGAATCTAACAAGAAAGACAGTCGCCCTCATCTTGAAAAGCTCACAAATCAGCTGACCTTTGCTCTGAACTCTATAGAAGTCAGTTCGTGAGTCAGTTAGAACCTTCCTAAAGGAGCACAGTGCATGGTTGCCCGTTGAAAAGATGTTTGCCCAGCACTTTGCCACTCAGAGTTGACAAATGGCTGCAAGTCATTAGTGTGTCTATTAGTGTAATGGGATGTCGGAGGTGAAAGATTTGACTTGATGGGGACAATAGTGCAGGGATTCTGTGATTTTTGGAACCAGATATTTCATACACCTATTAGGAAATTCAGAGAACTGGCTTAGGTTTTGTAACCATCACAATGAGGAAAAGGGTAAAGTTCACAGGCAGACAGAGCTGAGCAACTTCCACAGAATAGGTAGGTGGCAGGTGCCTCACCATATGCACACCTGCCAAGGCAGCAAGGGAAGAGATGCTAACTGGAGCCAAGAGGGCCCTCCATCCCTGTAGGGTCCCATGTGCTGTCCTCACCCCATTCCTAGACCTGGCAGTGGGAACGCGCCATTCAAGAAACGTTTCTTTTTAAATTAAAAGAATACAGGAAATGTAAGTGAACTCAAAATCTGGAACCCTGGGCTCCAGTTTCACACTTGTCACTAGCTTTTCACGTCCTCTTGGGTAAGTCATTTCACCTCTCAGGACATAGGGTCCCATACCTGTAGAATGAAGGAGTGGGAACAGATCTCAAACCTATCAGGTGAACATCCCATGACTGCTTTTAGGATCCTTTCCCATCCATACCTTAGGCACACTTCCCTTCCTCTCTCTCCGCGGTGCCATGTATACTTACCCCTCCATGAAGCTTGTTTGTTTCCTTGAACTCCATGGAGTGGAAGAATGAGACAGACTTTGGCATTAGACAGACTTGGGCTCAAAACCAACCTTTCTTCCCACTCACTAACTGTGTCAGCTTGAGCAACCTTTGTTTCACCATATGTGAAATAAGGATGGTGGGGCCTTGTGGGACCAATAGAAGGATTGGATTGGATTAAATACTATCAAGAAAGGACAAAGTAATTATTTCTTAGTAGGGCTTACAAGTGGAACCCCCATCACCACCCTCATCAGCCCCTATATTGTTATACACAGAGAGCCTGTGCCTGACATAAAATAATGATCCTTAATAAAGATTTGTTGAAATGCACTTTTGTTAAACTTTCTACAATTTTAAAACTCTGTGTGTGTGTGTATGTGTATAACACAAGTACAGTTGACTCTTGAACAACATGGGTTTGAAATGTGTGGGTCCACTTATACAAGGATTTTCTTATACCTCTGCTACCCCTGAAACAGCAAGACCAAACCCTCTTCTTCCTCCTCTTCCTCAGCTAAGTCAATGTGAAGATAATAAAGGATGGATACCTTTATGATGATCCACTCCCACTAAGTGAGTAAATATATTTTCTCTTCCTTATGATTTTCCTAATATTTTCTTTTCTCTAGCTTACTTTATGCTAAGAATACAGTATATAATACATATGACATATAAAATATGTGTGAGTCTACTGTTTATATTATCAGTGAGGCTCCAGTCAACAGTAGGCTATTAGTAGTTAATGTTTTGGGGTAGTCTAAAGTTATGCACAGATTTCTGGCTGCAAGGGGGTCAGCACCCTTAACCCCCACGTTGTTCAATAGTCAACTGTATTTATTAGGCATCTGCTAAATATTGGGCACAGAAAGATGAATAAGAATTAAATTGCCCATTGGCCTAAGAGGCCTTGTGGTCCAGCAGGCTTTTTATGACTTATTTCCTATAAGAGAGCAAGCTGCCATCCATTGAGCAATGACTAAATATCTTCTGTATGTATTACATTGTACTAGGGCATAGAGAGGAAAGGAAAAAAAGATCAAGATGTCAGTCTATCCTGCAAGGAATTTGCAATCTAGTAGGAACTAAATGCAATGCTTACAAAGTGAGGCAGAGTGTGTGGCACATGGTCTAACTAGTCTAGAAATAAAGTGCTGTGTAAGTCAAGCATAAGAGAGGTTACCGTGTGCAGGGTTAAACTTAATCTTCATGAGAAGGACTTCATGGAGGAGATACCATTAAAGCTAGACCTCGGGGGCCAAATCACATCTTAGTGGATAGAAATAGGAATGAAATGCCTCTTGGAAGAAGGGCAGAACACAGGTAAAAGTACAGACAGAAAATGCATTTCTCATTTAAGGAACAACTAGTAGTAAGGGTTTATAGTAGCATAAAATACATACAGATAAGAAGGGGGAAAAGCCCAAAATGTAGGTCTTTTGCCTTCCCTCGAAGTGCCTAGAACAGAGCTTTGCAAACTCTACCTATTCAGAGAATGATTTTTTAAAAATAACTGAGGGCATAAGAAGAGAATTGTGCTTTAAAAAATAAATCTCTTTGCAGCTTGCCTATTTCATAGTCTTATTGTAAGGATTAATAGTTGGTTTGATAGTCATAAAGTTAAATTACACTTAATAAAACACATAGAGCAAGAAAGTTCCACATCACAGCACACCGAGGAAGAATAAAACTGGAAATGGATGTTATTTCATCAGAGTGAAAAGCTAAGCAGTGCATTTTAGGATGAACAAGATAAATTGAATGTTATTTGATTTTGTATCTCATCCATTTCATTTCTGAAAATTATCTGAGACAGTTCTATTAATATAGATGCTTCGTATATAGGCCACATTTTATTTCTTTTAAAGAACTATCTTAAAAATATATTTTCAAATAATGGAGAAAAGATAAGCGGTTACAGATGGTTTTTCCCTATTTTTGTCATGCATGATCAAGGACCGCAGAGTAATGTGGGCTTCTTTGGGAAATCCAAATCTCGCAGCGAGGAGCGTTCCAGGAGCAAACGCTGGCATTATTTTGCTTTCGCAGAGAAAAATATGTTCCTGTTCAGTCAAGCAAAGTAATCAATTATTCTGCATTATGAAATACTCATTTGATAACTATTGACATTTCAGACAGTTGTGCCACATGTCAATAGTGGTTTTGATGCTCACATTTAAGCTCTAGCTTATAGGACAGGATTCATCTGGGCTGACAGCGTCTGATCAGAAGTCTATTCTCTGCTCTCAGAAGTACATCTATTATTTATGTCCAGTCCTGCACTGTGGAAGTGTGTTGTGAGCACTAAAACAAGAACAGACATGGGTATTTTTTTTTGTTGTTGTTGTTTTAATAAAAATGTTAAATTCCTCTAGAAACGTTAGATTTGCATTTACAAAATAATCACTCTCCTCTTGAATTGAAAACTATTCCTACATTTTGTAAGATGAGGATAGATTACATTAGGCATGCCATTCAGAAGCTCCAAAATTAACATTAGATTTTTAAGTATCCACTTCAACCTTATGCCCCCCAAAAGCA